TATTAATCAGGAATAACTTCAATGTAAAGTGAAGATGAACACTACTGTTGCACCCTTTGATCAGTTTTATCTATCCCATACTATATAAACAATACACATATAATATAATACACATACTGATTTCTTATGAGATTCCGATAATATAGTCTATCGGTTGCAATTGTCACTGTTTCGTAGAAAATTAAATTCAAGATGTACCTATTATATCACAACTAAATAGTAAGTAATTTTTGTAAATAAATATTAATGAATTAAAAAAAAAAAAAAAAAAATTTTATTTAATATATATAATATATACAAAAAAAAAAAAAAAATCATAATAATATATTTATTATTTAGACAATATAACTAATAACACATATAATAATAATATAAATAACTGACTAATTCCACTAAATTAATAATAAAATATACAGATAAAATACAATAAAAAAAAAAAAAAAAAAAAAAAAAAAAAACATATAATTTAAAAAAAGCATTTAAATTAAATACCTGGCTACAATTACCTACATATTAATTAAAGAAGCTTATTACCTATACTATATTAACACAATCAAAAGTCCTTCCCACCTATTTTATTTTTCATTAAATGTAAGCAATTCTCGAGTAAGTAAATTATTTATATAGCAATATACTATTACCTCTACTGATTCAATGGTGGTAATACATATCAAACAGGAATTTTAGCACCAGCTAGAGGAAATTATTTTTATTTTATAACAAAATTTTTTTTTTTTTTTTTTTTTTTTTTTTTAATTTATTTTCGTTCAATTAATCTCTATTAATTAATTTAAATATACTACCTATAGTAATAATTTGAATGTTTTCCTTAACATCATCCATATTTTTTAAATATAGTTTATACATATACCTTTGAAAAGACTTGGGTTTCTTTCACCCCGTTCTTTATTTGCCCTTTTTCCACTATAAGTCCCACTTATACAGCCAGGTACGAAGCAAGATCTTATATAATTATATAATTTTTTGGTTTGGTTTGGTTAATTAAATAACTATAAATTTTAAAGAAAACTAGTAAAAACACAGTTAAATCGTATTCTAACAATGCAAATGATCAATCTAACCCGCTTACAGTGCCTCTGGTGTCAAACCGAGAAACTTGCTTTAAAGTAGGGACGGTAGGGACAGAAATTTCAAATATGCCCATTGTCGATTCGCCTCCTCCTTCTAGCCTCCATACACCAAACAGTGCCGTGGCACATACTTTTCTTAACTAACATAGAATAACTAACTAAACAGTTAGTTATTCTATGGTTATTATGGAAGCTTCAACGTCCCACTAGTCCACTCACATACCGAATAATATTGCAATTTGTTGTAGCTTTATTTTATAAACGGTTTTAAGAACGGCGAAAAATATATAACAGTAATTTTTTACCGCTGTTTTTATTATTTTATTTATATACAGTTGCTGGTAAGAGCAACCAAAATACGCCGTAGGCGTGTTTCGATTGCGTTGGTTAGTCTCTAGAATGTTTTTTTTCTGTTTAGAGTGCCCGTGAAATACCCGACCGATTATCGTTTATGTGCGTGCAGAACTGCTAAATTAAGGAACAACAAACGGCAACGTTGGGTATGCGAGTTGACTAGTGGGACGTAGAAGCTACTGTATGTTTTTTTCATTTCGAGTCGTTAATAGAGTCTGTGCTATATAGGCTTGGTGCTGCCACCATCGGAGAATATCGTAAACAACTAGTATATACACATACACCATCAAATACAGGGCTTAAATAGCGAGTATACGAGAAATTTGTTATATAATTATTCTAAAAGTGTTAGGAAGTAAAATTTGTGAAAATTCTAAAAATAAAAATAAAAAAGTAAATATTTTTATATCTTCAGAAGGTCTAACTTGTATTATAATTTATTATTCCAGCTAAAAAAACTTTTTATATGAATTTAACTACGGTAGCGAGCATAGTTTTACGCACCAGTTATGAAAATGAGGTCATAATTGGGGCTATTTCGGCTATAACGAAATTTTTTAAAGGTATATAATTATAATTTTAGATGTTCATAAAACATTTAATAACTAGTTGTTTTAATCACTGTTTACTCACAAAAAGTTGAGTTATTGAATATTATTGCACCCATAACGCCCTAATTACGCTCTCCTTTACGCGTTAACATTTTTTCGGCAATTTTATTAACATTTGAAATTGCCACAAAACAACACAACGCCTAGTTCGATTTTTTTTCACGTATTTTTTACTACCCGAAACAGCGTTACATCACACAAACCTCGTATAGTTTATCTGGTCAGTTGGAATGGATTGGGGCTCTTAATTTCGGCACTGTCTTTTTCGGTGCCTGCGTCGGCATCGTCTGGACAACGGAATTAAGAGTCTCAGTACTTTCAATTGACTTCGGAAATACAATACCTGAGAATTTTATAGTCTGAATAACTGCACGAGCAAAAAACTAAAGTACTTATATATTATGACAAAGCCACGATTTCAATATTATTTTAATGCGATCAACATGAACTGTAACCGGGACGGTGTGAAATACATAGCGAAAATTTCTGATTTCTGCCGTATACAGCGCCGCGATCGGAATTTTTTGAAATCAGCTGAAATGCACCAAGCCCATATCGTGGGCCACGGTCCGTGGCTCACGCCGCGCGCGCTCTGTGTATTCACGAACGATCAAGCCTGCGTTGAGAGATGGTTGAGAGGTTGCGAATGAAATTTCAAAACATGCGTATGTCTATCGACTCAGCATGTGTGTGCTAAAGTCTGTGCGCGGCTTTAGGGAAGTACTGCCGTTATGCGCAAACCCAAATTTCGAAAATTTGATTGGCCAGAATCTGCCGCAACGCAAACGGGACATATAAATAAAAATACCGTATGCTCGAAAAAAAAACCGGCGTCAAATACGACTGGGGAATGACAATACATGATAATTTTGGCGAGGTCAATCTCTAGATGTAATTGACACAAAACATGTCAATAATTAACACTAATTATAGAAAGATTAAAGAATAGAACGTTTCCAGACACACAAATCTATTTCCAAAACATAATTTTTTCTCCAAGTTTTAAATTGCACCATTTTAAAATAATTCTTACTCAATATAAAAATAAGTTACAACCTTCTTAAGGCCAACTGGCAGTAACACCATTAAATATAAAGAAGAGTATGGGACAAGTAAATGACGTCTAGGGCTTGCCTTTGCCAAAATTATTATAGATTGTTATTGCCCAGCTGTCTTTAACGCCGTTTTTTTTATCTTCGGGTATTATTGTAGATATTATTTATACGAGTCATCCAGCGGCGTGCGGTCGATGGAAGCGGGGGAAGCACCGCTTCCCTAAACTTTTTAAAGATAAAAAAAATAAATAGTTAAACGTTAATAATACTGTTATTTTATAACAAAAGATTAATTTAATTTGTTAAAATTATTTATTTGAAACCTTACATAAACGTAGTAAACTTAATTAGCCTTATACTGCATGGATTCGCGCCTGGAAATCGCCGCCGGTCGCCTATCCCTCCTTCATGTAGGTGTTATTGACCTCGAACGCAAGCGACAAATTTAAGCCGGAAAATCGCGCACAGTTGCTAGGCACGGCAGCGATCTTTCGGCCGCCTTCCTCGACTTTTAATTTATCGGTACGGGTTCGCTTGCGATTTTATAGGTAATATTGCATTTTTTTCGGATTTAACTTAGCGTTTACTGTTTCGTTTGTAATGGAGGGTCAAGAACGACAATCTTCTGCTTCTGCTAGCGTGCACAATAATTTAGACTTTGTTTGTGTTGTATGTGTGTAGTAAAAAAGGGATTTTCTAGTCGGAACTTTCAAGAAAAAAGTGACATTATTAAGTCTGGTAGGCCAACGGTTCCCATCAATTTAGAGACCAGAGTGGAGAAGTCGGTAAAAAAATTCACTAGACATTTTCATGTTGGGTTTTACGACAAATATGAGTGGTTAACCGGCTGCAATAAATTATCCAAATTATTTTGTTGGCCTCGGAATTTTCAAAGGTAAGTTTTTTAAGAAAATGTAAAAGTAATGTTTCGAAATAGGTTTTTTTACCGATTCGCTTCCCCGCCTATAATTCTCACCGCACGCCGCTGGAGTCATCCATATATATATATATATATATATATATATATATATATCAAATATATACGGATTATCGCCTATCCCTGCAATGTGTTGGAGTTGAAGCCAAGTTAGAGACAACTAGATAACCGGTCCATGTATATTTCACATAAGTTCGTCTGATAGGCAGACACTGGCGCAACAGCGCAACTCCAAAATTCCGAATATCGATTAGCCCTTCAGCTTGATTTTCATGCATCCGTTGTCCGACGATACAATATTAATTTTATTGGTTGAATTTAAAGGCTTCGATTGGTTAACCGTTTCTAGCCAAAAGTTCTTCGAAGTCTTTAAATTCAACCAATATAATTAATATTGTATCATCGTATCGTCGGACAACGGATGCATGAAAATCAAGCTTTACTTTGAGGATTAGCTAATTGTCGAACGGGAGCGCAAACGAAAGCCGTACGAATGAACAGCTGATGCTAGCGTCTAGTCTCTTATTGGTCTAGTTATCCGATCGATAATTTAAAATCCAGGCTTGCGCACTACCCTTGAGCAGAGCTAACTGAGCGACTTACGCAAATTGCTTCAGAAGATTTATATACCCATTTCACCGGCTTGGCTTCACAGAATGTAGCTTGGAGTTAATTGGTTGCTTTATAAATATATGGAGTCATCCCATCGATAATTCAAAATCCACGCTTGCGCACAGCGCTTCTTTTTCCTTTAAAGGACTTTACAAATAAATGTTCTGACAAAAAAAAAACAAAACTATTAAAATTAATTTTATTTAAAAAACCTTAACAAAATACTGCTTGCATTGATATTGTCATGTTTCTAGAATATAGCTGACCTTTCAAATTAACTTAATGATAATATATAACACAGAAAACCCATTTTTTGGTAAAGTTAACTGTCTTACAAATTATATCTCCTACCGGAAATTTGGAACAAATAATTAGTTCACATTTATGAACAAATAAATGTATTGAGTATGCATTTATCAGTCCAACTCTCTCTGACATAGAGGAGCTATAAAATTATATATGAGCAAGAAATCGCAAACTTTGATTCAATCGCAGAGATCTAAAATCGCAATTGCAACCTGCCATCGCTTTTCATGGTTATTCAGAGAATTTCAGTTTTGCTCTTCTCTATATGAAATGGCAGTACAAATCTTTTAAATTCAATTTGAGCTAGTAAAAAATGTTACTACATCTTGTGAAGAGGAAGCTTTGTTAAATTTAAAGAACACAAATAAAATATGGACAAAAACGACGAAGATGAAGAAGAAAAGGGGTGAACGAAGTCAATAGTATCCTATCTTTTGGGGGCGACAATCCAAAAAGTATTAAAGCCCCACTTGCAACCAATTAACAACCTCACAGATCAGAAAATTTCAGAATCACGGTTCTCCAAAAAGAGACCTAATCAGGAATTTTTTATCGACTTTTCCCATAGCGTTCTTCGTTATTTTTTCTACAAATTTCCATTCCTTCGGCACCGCGTACCTGGGCAACCTTTCCTCAGCGTATATTCTTAGTTTTTCAATAATTTCAGTACTATTTTCGATTTTGTGAGTTGTAGCGACTACCGCGGCTACTTTTTGGCCCCATTTTTCATCAGGGAGTCCTACGACAGCGCAGTCTTTAACTTCAGGACAGCCTAAGAGCGCCGATTCGATTTCTAAGGTACTAATTTTGTGGCCGCCGCTTTTAACCACGTCTATTGATTTGCGGCCGAGAATTTTAAACTTCTTCTTTTCTACAGAGTACTGACAAACGTCTCCGGTTTTGAACCACCCGGAGAGCGTGAATTCCTGTTTCGTGGTGTCTGGGCGGTCGTGGTATTTTGTAAAAATGGCGTCCCCACGAACTAACAGCTCGCCCGTGGGATCGTTGCCTTGAGCATCTTTTTGACCATTTTTCTGAATGACCACGGTACCATCTATGTTGCTGCACTCAACCAGAGTCCTGAAGTAAAATTAATTTAGGGTTTATTTTGATGCCAAAAGTGTTATATCTGGATTAATTCTTACTTTATGGATTCATTTTCAACAGGTTCTTTGGCAATTTTAACTGACACTCCCGGTAAAGGTACACCAACATAACCTGGTTCTCTGTCACCGTCATAGGGATTTGATAAAATCATACCAGTTTCTGTCATTCCATACCTGAAGGAATTTTGTTTAGTTTTTTATATGTTTAATTTTACATACTTATAATTTAGAATTAGAGCCCAATATACAGGGTAAGTCTTATTAATAATAATTAAGTGTAAATAAGTGCATAAGTAAATTTTTTTTTGGGGCAGTATATTTTAACGAGGTTTTTTTGCGAATTTTTTTTTGAAATTTGGATTTTTTTAATTTTTTTTTTAGTTTTTAGTTAAGAACATAATTTTTTGATAATATGGCAACATAGGTAGTAGACAACCCAGAAAAGATCCAGTAGTTCTCAAAATCTAAGCAAAAAAATATTTTTTTTAGAAATTTTCAAAGTAAAATAACTCGGTTATTTTAGACTTATTTGAAAAACGGTAAAGAGAAATTTTGTTTCTTTTACCGAGATCTACCAGCCCTGACCATATTTGCACTTATGTAAGACTCACTCTGTACATAGAGGGTGTCCCAGAAATAAGTGCAAGTATTTTAACTGATAGTATAGTTCAACCCCAGAAAAACGCCTATGAGGTTTTTTTCGCGAAAAATTTTTTTGTAAATTTTTTGTAAATTTTTTAGTTAAAATTTTTTGATAATATGGTAACATAGGTATTAGATTAGATTTACAAAAAAGAAAATCCAGAAACGATCCAGTGGTTCCCAAAATTTTAGCAATTTTTTTTTAATTTTCAAAGTAATATAACTCCGTTATTTTGGTCTTATTTGAAAAATGATAAAGAGAAAATATGTTTCTTTTATTGAGGTCTACCAGCCCTTAAAATACTTGCACTTATTTCTGGGACACCCTGTATATACCTAATAAATACCTAATTCTAAATAATGATACGTCTTAATAGGGCCAAATAATATTAGTAATTACCTCTCTAATAATCTATGCCCAGTAATATCTAACCAGCGATTGAATAGTGGTTGTGAGAGGGGTGCTGATCCACTAACCATCAATCGTATTTTTGATTTTAGTGTATTCTTTATATACTCCACCATTTTAGGATCTTCTTTAAACACTCGTTCATATTCCTCCACTAATTTTGAATACATAGTGGGAACTCCCATAAACAGAGTTATTCTTCTGTCTTCTGGTCTAGCAGTAACTCCTAATAAATATGACCTAAAATATTTACCAACAATAAAGAAATATTACAAAGGAACTTCAAGTCTTACCAAACAGTATTTGCATTGAATTTTTTCAACATAACTGTCTTAGCTCCAGCGTACAGTGGGCATAACAAAGAATTGACTATGCCATGAATATGATGAAGTGGTAACGTATGCAGCAAGACATCATCCGTATTCCACCTCCATGCATCTAACAGAGATGCTGCTTGAGCTGAGAGGTTTTTATAGGACAAGACTACACCTTTTGGATTGGCTGTAGTGCCACTAGTATACAATATCAAAGCATTTGATTTATTATAAAAAGTATCTGGACGACCACCTTCTAAATCGTCAGGTTTGTTAGCCTAAATAATTGAAAAAGTTCTAAATTTTCATTAATAATTTCATATTTAAGCATATATTTACCAGCATAAGAGTACAATTCAATTTAAGTCTATCATCAAGCACTTGTAATTTTGTACTAGCATTATTAGCAACTCTAGACATCAGATCTGCATATTCTGGTACAGTAATAATCAATTTTGAATTAGAATCATTGGCATAATACATAAGAAGACTTTTCGGATGTAGAGGACTAACAGGTACCGCTAAAACATTGAGATATTTTTTTACAGATCAATATAATGAGGAAGATGCATATATTTTATTTTTCGCCAGAAACTGTTCAATTTATTAGAATAAATATGTGTAAATGCAAAAAAAAAAATTTCTTGAATGCAGTACCACAATTTTATAAAACGGGCCATTAAAATACTATGGATAACGCAAACGACGCCTCGCGAATTGAAGCGATATTCTATTGGTCTGACGTCACCCGCCGTTCTCGTCGACGCGCGATGGCCAGCAGCAGCCAGATGTGTTCCGTTTATGTACGTATTTAGGTGGCGTACTAAGACATTTTTGTTGCTTTTAGCGTTGATTGAAGTAGCTTTTTATGCTTTTTTGTGCAGTTATTATTTGTATGTGTTGTGTGTTCTGGGAATTTTTTAAGTAATGGCAGATTCCGGGTTTGTAAAAGCACAATCAGATAACTTGCCAAAAGTCGCTGCTTTTATGTTGGCTGCTGTTATAAATACAAATTCCCAATTTATTGGTGCTGAATTACGAGGAAAAAAACAGAGAGGGATGTAACATTTATTCTTTGTAGTACTGAGGCATATTTAACTATAAGTAGGTACCTACTGTTACGAACTTTTATATAGTTATAAATATTAATGTTATAAACTTATTTTTCAGATCAGGTAGGGAGACGTATGGAGATAATGCTGTAGGTTATGTAGAAGTGAAAAGAGACAAAAATATTTGTTTAGTACGTGGAAAAATAACTCCAGAGCATAGCGTGAAAAAGAAAGTTTTTTTTATATATTGACACCCCTTACCCTTGTTATTTTTATAGATTGTTTTTTTTACGAAATTATAGGAAATAAATTGTTTATCAGTAATGAAAATATTATACAAGGTGTCCCATAAGCAAACGCCAAAATTAAGTTACTTTTTTAAGTGAAACACCCTATATATTTTTGGATTCTTCGGAAATTTCTAGATATTCTAGATATATTTCATGTATAATATCCTATCTTCAAATGTTTACGAAATATTGACAGTTGAAAAGCGAAAAATACCTACAATTTTCTGGACCACTTTTTTTGAGACACCCTTTTTTTGAGACACACCTAGAATTAATTTTATAGAGAGTATATGAAAAACCATGCAACTTTTTTATTTAATGTTTTTTTCTAAAACTTGCAGTTAAGGCTGTACGTGGGTGTCAAAATATAATGAATAACCCTGTACATTCAAATTTCATATACCTATGTAAGACAATATACATAAATATATGAATTTACATCAAAATGATCTTCACAACAATAAATCGTAAAAATAGAGGATAATTTAACATTTTTCTTTTCATCTCTTCTCATGGCCTTGGACCATTTTTTTCTGTTTTCGCTCATCCATTACTATTTATAAATATCACTAATTACTAATTATGTATTAATTAACACAAATAACTAAAATTTTGACTCGGATTCAACAGCGTTTAAAAGCAAACTGTGTAAAATAAACACGCGTCTGGCTCCACTCAACCAGAAGAATGGCGGGTGACGTTACAGCGGCAAGGCGCGGTAGAGAGCGTTTGCCCGGCCATTTAAATTAACAATATTTAATTGTTTTATATTAGAGGCATTTCTTAACCGATATTAAAAATTTTTTTTTGTTCAATTTGTAATTATATGAACTATTTTTTAAAACCATTATTTAAAAACATGCATTTTCCTCATTGAAATTAACAAAAAACGCAACGGAAAAAAACGTGTTACAATTTTTTAAATTTTAGCCCTATTTTCATGATTTTTTTAGCAAACTGTATCAAATGTATCAACTTTAATTCGTAAACTCAGTTTTTTATAGTATTTAGTATTGGGCTTAGGGAATGCAATCCCGCAAATGCTGGATCCGATCCCTCTGAGATTTCGCGGGATCAAAGTTGCGGGATCGACACATTACTACTGGGTTCTATATCGATCTCGATCAAGGTCAAACCACTTCGTTCCGGGCCGATGCGTCGACGTTCGGAACCCGGGGGATTCCCCTTACGGCTTGGCCATTAAAAATAAGTGAAAAAAACCATGTTAGATTTCTTTCTGCCGTGTAAAGTGAAGAAAATCGTTTAACTGGTACTTGTGGACAATTTAGTCAAAAAACTACCGGACATAATTAATGGGACAAGCAAAATTTTAGGGTAAATTTAAACTTGAATATCTGTTGAACGAAAAAAGATTTTGGGATGCGGTTTAGACCAGGTTTTAGATGCATATATTGTGATTAACATGCTATGTGGTTTTCGAAAATATATTTAGCGAATTCTCGTATACAGGGTGTTTTATAAGAGTGTGAACATTTGGTTAAGAATTTTTTTTACCGCAAATTTACAATTTTTAAAAAATCGAAATTTTTACCAAGTACGACTAATCTGTATTGAAATTAGAAAAAACAATTTCATCATTTTTTATTTTTATTTTGTTTTTTCCAAAATACGACGTTTTTTCGAAAAATATGCATTTTTTAGTCATACGTATGGTCCTAAATGGTACAAAAAGGTTTGTACATTCTACATATGCCAAAAAATTATTGATATAGAGTGTATCTAAATGCAGATAACTAACACAAGTTAAAAAAAACTTCAACATCAGAATAATATTTTTATTTTTAAAATAAGTAGATAAATTATAATAAAATTTAAGTTTATTTAATATGAAATATATTTTTTGAACACCCTGTATACATCGGTCCAAATTTCTATACAATTAGTTTAAGATACACGCTATATCAATATATTGTGGGCCTATGCAAAATGTACAATGCCTTTTGTACCATTTAGGACCAAATGTATGACTATTGTTTACAGTCCCGCAATTTTGCGGATCCGCGGGATTGATTGCTTTAATCCCGCAGCGTTTACGGGATTGAGATTTTGGTGCGGGATTTCATTCTCTAATTAGGCTTTACTGTACAGGGTTTATCGAATGGTTATTTTTTACCCTAACTTTAAAACAGCCTGTGCAATCATTTCACGAGCGTGTGTATAAGGGAGAGAGTATACCGGGTGCGTCTCAAAAGTGGCTTTAGTATAACTTGTTCATTTTCCCAGATAAAAAACCGAGATTTGGTATGTTAGTATATGACATAAATTAGGATTGATTGAAGTATTCAATTGCTTTTGGTCACTTCCTGTTTCACCGGAAACGACTACAACTTTTGATTTTTAAATGTCACCCTCAGTATTTAGTTACTTTATTCAATAGAAAATGACACTCTGAATAAAATGACATATCATATGTCAACTTTTGACATTTTTGAATATGATTTATTTGAAATTGCAACATGCGATTCATAACCACAATTTGATTCGAAATACCAAGTGAGTAGTACATTAAGTAAATACAGTATACAGTACATTAATATATATTTATACAGTACATTTAGTAAATACCAAGTCAGTAGTATTACAAATTATTCGTAAAAAAATGCTTTTTTCAAATATACTAATGACCCACCATCATTCCATTTGAAAAAACTGAGATATGATTAAAAATATGATTTGAGCATCTTTTAACTGGCCATGACAAGACACATCAGACGATCAAATCAATTTTTCCAAGACTCCTTGATTAAAAATTAGTGTTTTTAACACAGCCATGACACTCTAGATTGAAATTTATAATACAATTTTATTTTAAGCAAAAATGTCAAAAGTTGACATATGATATGTCATTCTATTCAGAGTGTCATTTTCTATCGATTAAAGTTGAAAAATACCGAGGGTGCCAAAGTGCCATTTAAAAATCAAAAGTTGTAGTCATTTCCGGTGAAACAGGAAGTGACCGAAAACAATTGAATACGTCAATCAATCCTTATTTATGTCATATACTAACATACCAAATCACGATTTTTTATCTCAAAAAATAAAAAAAGTTATAGGGGTGAGCCACTTGTAAGACGCACCCGGTATAACGAGAGAGCATGAGGCTATAAGAGTAAGCATGATATTTAAAATTCAAGGTAGCGTTAAGTGATACAGGTTAAAAATGAATGTCAAGTGTATGGAGTGTAGAGGTAAGGAGAAACAACTCTTACGGGACTTTTATTGAAAAAGTGGTCACAAAATGGGAAGAATAAGGGTTCGCCAAATAACCACAGTGGCGCTAAAAACGCATGATTCTAAAAAATGAAAAGTAACCATAGATAAGAGAATAAAAATAAATATAACCAAACATTACCCAAAAAAATTTTGTTTTTATTTTTCAGACAGAGTTTTTGAATATAAAATAATTATTGTTTATCAATATTTTGTGCTTTATTTATTATTTAACAATGGTTAAAGTGTGTGTGGTGCGAAGTTGATTGAATAGCTGATGGAAAAATAAAGAGCAAAGGCAAAGCCTACGGTATGTAAAATACATAATATAATTCAGTATTGTATTATTTGTATTATATGTAAAAATTAGAGTCAATCAAAAGTGTAGTAAACATTTTTCGTAAGATTATTGACATACATGTTACAAAGTATATTTTTACAATCCTTTTTATAAAGTTACAACCTAAATAAAATTTATTTTTAATGATTTTAAAGTTTGACAGATATGTACAAATTGTTGGCATTTTTTTAAACAAGTAAAAGTAGGAAATACATAAAATTGTAGGTACTTTCAAGAAATATAGTTAACTGTAAGTGCTGTATTTTAATAATCTATCAAAAATCAAAATCATCAGGATAATATTAGGTATTGATTTTCAGACAAGAATTAGATTACAGTGATGGTCAAAAACATTTAGATATTGCTTTGAAATCTACAGATAAGGTATGGCAGTTTCATTTTAAAGAACAAGATGTTAAAGTTTGTGATAAAATTGTCATCAGAAATACTGTCCACTTCAGTATTTACATAGGAAAATATTGGAGGATGAAGCTCTACCTACTGCCTCAGGTTAATTTAAATTCTGAATTGCAACAACAGCAACAAGCAAGAAGGGCACCATTAAATGAATATTATACACATAAGTACCGTATGATCGAATAAAAACGGCGTCCAGTTGGCTTGGACATGACGATCGATGGCATTTCCTATATAAATTTACATATAAAATGACAGCGATCTTCATTTCATAGCCATCGCTGACGCCGTTTTTATTCGATCATACGGTATTATTATACACAGAAAGAGTAATGTTATACACATAAATATTAACATTTTGTAGAGCAACAACACAATAAAAAACCAAAATATGAACACCAGCAACTAAAACAGGAACCATTAAATGAATATTACACACGTAAGTACAATTTGATCGATCGAATAAAAACGGCGTCAGCGATGCCTATGAAATGAAGATTGCTGTCATTTTATATGTAAAATGATATGGAGAATGTCATCGAGATGTTCATTTCCAAGCCCACTGGACGCCGTGTTTTTCGATCATACAGTATTATTATACACATAAATAATAATATTATACACATAAACATCCCTTGATAAAGATAACATTTTGTAGAGCAATAACAGCATCAAATAATGGAAATAATGGACCCTACTGCTCAAATCAAAAACAAAATTTCATCATTACCACTTTATTGGTTATATCAATAAAAGAAATTATTGAGTTTATGAGTCTAGATCCTACAAGCAAGCAGATCTATCACATAATTTAAAATGAAGATTTATCTATTATAGTATGTATAAACACTTTGCATCTTTTATTCAATGTTGTAATGAATTAACAAATTGCAGGTAATTTATTCTAATAATGAAAAAGAAACTTTGGATCAAAAAATATTTTCTTCTGATGAGGCTTATGAATATTAAAGTCTGTTGAAGTTTGGCCATTATGTGTTGGTATACAATTTATTTATGATGTTACAGTAGTTAAACCATCCGAATACAAAACATATTTAAAATCCACTATTCTTAATGAACCAACTTGAGAGGAAGCTAAGAGAAAGGTTCTATTGGGTGGACTACAAGAAAAAGGGACATATACATGAGGATCTGGAAGGGCTATAACATTACGTCTCAAGCCATGGAACAATAGGAAACGAAATTCAAAGGAAAATATTACAATACGTGGGATGCAAATTATAGTGCAAAGAATTGAGAAAAAGAATTATTAAAAGTAGTTATAGTTATGATAGTTAAACCATCTGACTACCAAATATATTTAAAATCCACTATTCTGAATGAATAGCAACTACCAACTTGGAAGGAAGCTGCGAGAACGATTCTATTGGGTGAACTAGGAAGACATGAGCATCTGGAAGGGCTATAAAATTATATTATTATTTCACGTCCCAAGCCATGTTGGAATAGCTGGGAGTGAAAAAGAAGATAATACTGCACACGATTCTTGTCTAGAAGTAGTTGATATTAAGGTAGTTAAGCCATCCGACTATCGAACATTTAAAATCCACTATTCTGAATGAATAGCAACTACGATGGCAAAACGTAAATAAATACTTGTACAGTATAAAATTATATTATATTGGCTTAATTTTTATACTAAATAAAATGTGTTACGTTATTTTTGACCTGCATTATATTTATTTAAATCCCATATCATCAATTAAACTTTTAATAAAGTTTTCCTAATTATAATTAACATTAATTTTAAACTAAACCTTTTTCATCTTGAATGAGATTTACGAAATAACTTATGAGAAACAATAAAAAGAGGCTCTGATATCTGAATAATCGATAATAAAACCACATATTGACTTACTTTTATACTAAATCAATGTAGGTATGAAGTTATTTTAAAGCTGCATTATATTTATTTTAAACCCATCACCAATTATTACTTTAAATAAAATTTGTCTTAATTATAATTACCATTAACTTTAAGCTAAAACGATAAGAATATTTTTTCGTCGTCTTGAATGACATTTGCGAAATAACTTATGAGAAACAATAAAAAAAGGGCCTAGTCTATTGCTGCTGAATAAAAATCTGTAATTTATTTCATGCAACATGAAAATAAAATTGTATTTTTTTTAAACCCGCGGCTTCGCGTTTGCTTCACGTCAAATATTTATGTCTTGAATCATCTGTTCTAAAATGTTCGGCGCATGTCTTAAATTTTAGAATCTTGCTACAGCAGCGCCATCCTAATTCTTCCCTTTTTTTGACCATTTTTTAATGCACGGAGTTATTTCTCCTTACCTCTACACTCCATAGTCAAGTGCTTTATAAAAAATACATTGTACTAAAAATAAACTACATTAAACGAGTTTTTTTTAAATATATACCTATTTGTCCAGACATCCATATTGCCCATAAAGTAATTACATATTGTACATCATTAGGACACAGAAATAAAACTCTTTCATTGATCCTTCCTTCTAATTTTGCACTGATTTCTTTAGATAACTCATTTGCACTCATAAAAATGTTAGCGTAGGTATAAGCTATAACAAAATATGGGTAATTACTATACGGTTTTTTGCTATTTCATATATTTTTTTTAACAAACTATACATACGTACACATTTATTTGTGTTAATATTGTGATGACTATCAACATGTCGCATATTGAATTACTGATAATTTTCGTATCACCGGACGGATTAGCGGCCGGCGGTCGCCACCTACCAGGTTAAATCAAGCTGCACTTTCTTACCATATACATATAACTAAATATACTCAGTGTTCCCTATTTAACCCCGTGTGCTGTTTCCGTGCCGTAAGAAAAAGACAACATAACTCCGCTCCATATTAATACTGCATAAGTCTATTTCACCCGGATATCGATTGAACTGCGATTGTGCCAAACTCCGATTGATTGTTGTTTTAGTTCTGTTTGGATTACTTTTTATTTGTGCGCGTAAAAGAGTGATTTTGATTACTTTAATGTTTCCAACTATTTTTTGACATTTTTCCAAATCCATGATAATGTGTTATAATTAATAATAATATAAATAAAATTGAAGGTGAGGTGAAATGTCAGTCAACCACGTCCCTTTAATAACACTGACCAATGAAAACTTCTTCAGGTAAGGCATGCGCAGTTAAATGAATATCCGGGTGAAATAGACTTGTGCAGAATTTCATATTTCTCTTTCACTGTTTCGGCTTTACTTTTTAGAGATTAGGCTGAGTATATTTATTTATATGTATATGTTTTTTACACATTGCCATGATACAATATACAAAGATAAGATCCTTGGCGGTCGCAAATCGGTTTTCCGCGCGTCACCTGGGTAGTAAAGTAATTTTGTGTTAGGCTCCGCCCACTACATGCGCAATATCTTATCTCCTGTTAATTGTATCATGACACATTGCTACATCAACGCCGAGATGGGCCTTGAAGTCCATATACATATAACTAAAAAACGTTGAAAGGAGTCCCGAAATCGAAATCTAAGGCCAGGATCGGGTTGGGGGCGTGGTTTTATGCCCTACTTGAAGCATTAGGATTTAGTCTTGAAGCAATGGGCGTGGCAATTGAAGCATATATAAAAAGTAGTCAGAAATGAAAAAAACAAAATGCTACCGTATTCAGGAGCTCGTGAGAATTCCGAGAAAAATAATGAAAAAATTCCCCTAGCCTCCCTTCTTTGGGGGGTCGCTCTAAATCTTATTTTTGCAATTTGTGATCGAAATATGAATACGCGCATTACACTCCTTGGGGTAACGCCACCGCTGCCACCCTACACCGGAAATTCTCCGTGCTCCCCACTAGGCTGCGCGTAAGCGCAAGGCTCGATTTTGAAAACAAAAAATTGATAATAAATATCGGAATAGGGGGGATAGATAGAAAAAAATTCTCTTTTTTAGTTATATGTATATGTTGAAGTCATTGCGGCCTACGAGTACGTCAAAGATTCACAACGGCATAGCCTTTAATATCCATTATAGGTAATATGAAGTATATTTTCCGCCTTAGCAATACAATAAATCATATCAAAATGTCTTTATGGAAAACCTTATATGAAAATTCCGCGATAACGCAGTTATCAAAAATAATCGAAATATATTGTAGTATAAAATATATATAGAATAAAAATACGGCAAAAAAGATTATTGCGAACATAAGATGTTGCATTAGTGCGTGGCCCCACATGAGGCAAACAGCGTAGCGTAACGAAGAGGACCGCGAAGCGTTTAAACGCATTAATGTAAATGGAAGTGGGTCCGAGCGAAGCATATTGCAGATTGATGCGTATTTGCTCGCTGGTTGAAATTTTCACGCGCTCATTTCCTTTGAAATTGTTCAAAATCCGCCTGAAAACCATATACGTATTATTTACAAATATACTCAGGGTTCCCTATTTAACCCCGTGTGCAATTTCTGTGCCGTAAGAAAAAGACAACATAACCCAGTTCCATATTAAAACTAGTAGTGGGAACTATCGAATGAATACTATCGAAACATTCGATAGTTGCAATTCATTCGAATAATTCGATAGTTAGTAAGAAAACATTCGTTGAAAACTATTCGAATAAAAATTATCGAATAGATCCGTCATCTGCCTTGAAACATTGTATTCTAGTAATTCTGCAGCAAAAACCATTCATTTATAAAATTCATTCATTTATGAAATTCATTTATTCGTCAGGATCGATTATAATAAAATATTAACTGAATTTTAGTTGTCGCCCGGCGACGTAGGTTTCTTTCCGAGAAACCCGACAGCGGTCGGTGGCAATGCTATGAAAGAAGCCGGCATCTTTGATTTTTTGCAGAGTCAGATAAAAATAAGGACACATTATTTTTTTTATTGAGGTGCTAGTATTTACACAGAAAATACATAATGAAGGGCGCTGTTGCCATATTTTGGTATTAGTTGATATTAGCAAAGAATATTATTGTTTGGCTTTAGTTAGTTAGGGATAGTATGTCTATATATTCTGCATTTTTTTTTATTAATATTCTGTTGTTACACTGCAATAATACTTGTTATTTTGGATGTAGGAAAATGATTTTTAATGTTTTAAAGCAAAGACTGGTTTAATAAATAATAATAACAGTAATAATTTGTTATACCTGTTAACAACAAAATTTAAAATCATTTAATATAAACATTATTTTAAGTAGTAGCAAAATATAAACAACAAATTAGATGTCAAAATTATTTATATTAGATCCTATTTAAACATTTAAAAATAATATAGTCTCTAAATTTTTTGGCAACGTTGGTTTATTAAAGAATAATAATTACAGAACTAATTTGTTATATTAACAACAAATTTTAAAATCATGAAATATAAACATTTATTAATTTTCTAAGCATGCAATGTAATGGAAGGAAAATATAAATAAAAAATTAGAAATCAAAATTATTTATATTAGGTGCTTTATATTACTATTTAAAAATTATATTTACTTTTACTGGCATTTACTTTAAAAAATAAATGAAATATTTCTTCGCAAAAAACTACATGTAAGAGAATTAGCATAAACAAAATACAAACATTGTTAACCTTTTTTTTTAAATTGGCACGTGTAAAACTTTCATTTTAATTTTCTCACCCCATAGTTTGAGTTCGATAACCATTACCACATTACTTAAATATAATTATTAAGTTCAACTAATTCATATTATTAAAACATCTAAAATACAAATATGTATTTTTAAAATTAATTGTAAGTAGCGATGGGAACTATCGAATGAATTAGACTATCGAATGGTTACTGAATGAATGATTTCAACTATCGAATGGTTTTATTCGAATAAAATCATTCATTCATTTGTATACTAGAGCATACGTGACAACCTCGCCGTGCCACTGAATGGTTATCGTTGAGCCACGACTACCGAATGCTTTTGATAAATGAAAATTAGTATCCGTTTGATTTTTGTGTGCGTCAGTGCATTATTAGTTCTTCCAAATTTTTATAACTTCGCCGTATAAATACTGTGCTATTTTTGCGTTTATTAAAATATTTAAAATACTAAAATAGTAGTTTTTTTAATTGACGATTGTGTGCGTGTGCAGGTGGTCAACATTTTTCAGAAAATTTTTGTGATTTTCCGTAGCCCGATCTTTCAATTATTTAATTTTATATGGTATATGGTCTATTTTTTAATGGAAAATTTTGAGAAGTACCAATTTTTAAGAGAGATGAGATGAACTTACAATTAATTTTAAAAATAGATATTTGTATTTTAGATGTTTAATAATATGAATTAGTTGAACTTAATAATCATATTTAAGTAATGTGGTTAAGTAAATGGGGGGTTATCGAACTCAAACTATGGGGTGAGAAAATTAAATTGAAAGGTTTACACGTGCCAATTTTAAAAAAAGTTAACGATGTTTGTATTTTGTTTATGCTAATTCTCTTACATGTAGTTTTTTGCGAAGAAATATTTCATTTATTTTTTAAAGTAAATGCCAGTAAAAGTAAATATAATTTTTAAATAGTAATATAAAGCACCTAATATAAATAATTTTGATTTCTAATTTTTTATTTATATTTTCCTTCCATTACATTGCATGCTTAGAAAATTAATAAATGTTTATATTTCATGATTTTAAAATTTGTTGTTAATATAACAAATTAGTTCTGTAATTATTATTCTTTAATAAACCAACGTTGCCAAAAAATTTAGAGACTATATTATTTTTAAATGTTTAAATAGGATCTAATATAAATAATTTTGACATCTAATTTGTTGTTTATATTTTGCTACTACTTAAAATAATGTTTATATTAAATGATTTTAAATTTTGTTGTTAACAGGTATAACAAATTATTACTGTTATTATTATTTATTAAACCAGTCTTTGCTTTAAAACATTAAAAATCATTTTCCTACATCCAAAATAACAAGTATTATTGCAGTGTAACAACAGAATATTAATAAAAAAAAATGCAGAATATATAGACATACTATCCCTAACTAACTAAAGCCAAACAATAATATTCTTTGCTAATATCAACTAATACCAAAATATGGCAACAGCGCCCTTCATTATGTATTTTCTGTGTAAATACTAGCACCTCAATAAAAAAAATAATGTGTCCTTATTTTTATCTGACTCTGCAAAAAATCAAAGATGCCGGCTTCTTTCATAGCATTGCCACCGACCGCTGTCGGGTTTCTCGGAAAGAAACCTACGTCGCCGGGCGACAACTAAAATTCAGTTAATATTTTATTATAATCGATCCTGACGAATAAATGAATTTCATAAATGAATGAATTTTATAAATGAATGGTTTTTGCTGCCGAATTACTAGAATACAATATTTCAAGGCAGATGACGCGTCTATTCGATAATTTTTATTCGAATAGTTTTCAACGAATGTTTTCTTACTAGCTATCGAATTATTCGAATGAATTGCAACTATCGAATGTTTTGATAGTATTCATTCGATAGTTCCCACTACTAATTGTAAGTTCATCTCATCTCTCTTAAAAATTGCTACTTCTCAAAATTTCCCATTAAAAATAGACCATAT